TTTTTAATTTGGGTGGGCGGCAAAAGAATTACAAAAAATTAATGGGGAAAATTTAAATTTAAAAATTTAAAAAGCCATTTTTTTAAAAAAAACAAACTTTCGGGGGGTTTTTTAAAAATTTTTAATTTTACCATTTTATAAAAAAAATTTTGGGGAATTTTTGCTTTAAAAATCGCTGATAGGGGGGGGTTTTGGGGGCGTAATTTTTCCAAAATTTAAACCCGTTTCCGGCCCTTGGGGGAGGGGGGGTTTAACAAAAATGGGGGCGTTCCCAACCCTTTTTTAAATTTTTTCCCTGTTTTGGGGGTTTCTTTTTTGGGATTCTTTTTTTTTTTTCTCATTTTTTTAAAATACCCAAACCCTTTGTTTTTATTTTCCAGGGGAAAGGGGGGAAAGCTTTACATTTTCAAAAAAAAAAAGGTTTTTATTTTAAAAATTTTTTGGGAATATTAAATTTTGGGTTTTATTTATGAACTTTTTATATTCCCAATTTTTTAAAAAAAAAAAAAAAAGCAAAAAATTTAAAAAAATAGAATTTTTTTTTTAAATAAAAACATTGAAAAAAGCTATTAAAAAAACCGGTCAAAAATGTTTTTTCAATGGGAAAAATTTTTAAAAACTGGGTTTAAAATTTAATTTTTATTTTCTTAAAAGCCAATTGTGTAATTTTTTTTTTGTGTTTTCCATTTATTTTAAAAAACAACTTTTTTTTATCCAGCACCCCCCCCCCCGGGAAAATGTTAAGGGGAAAAAAAAAAATATTTAAATTTAAAAAATTTTAAAACAATTAAAAAGGTTTTTTGGGTTTTTTAAAAGAAAGAATTTTCCAAACGTTTTTCTTGAAAAATCTTAAAATTTTTGTTTAAATTTAAAAAAAGGGAAAAATTTTAAAAAAAATTTTTTCAATGAAAACCCCGGGTTTCTTTTTTTCTCAACCTTAAATGCGTTACTTAAAATTTAAAGGGGCCCATAAAAATTTCGTAATTGCTTTTAAAAAGGGGGGAAATTTTTAAAAAAAAAAAATTTTTATTTTATTTTTTTTGGGTTAAAATAATTTAAAATTGGGTTTTCTTTTGCTGAATATCTTTTTTTATATTTTAGAAAAATTTTTTTTTTTTTTAAAAAAACGGGGTTTTTTAAAATTTTGATACGTAAAAAACGGGAAAAAGTTTTTTAAAATTTGGGGGGCGGGTTTTTTTTGGGTAAAACTTTTTAGGGGTTGGCCTTTTTTTTTTTTAAAACCTTGGAAATTTAAACATTAAAGGGCAAACTTTAATTTAAATTTTCTTTTAAAACCCCTTAATACATTTAAAAGAACTTTATAAGAAATTTTATAAAAGGGGTATTTTATCATTAAGGAATTTAATTTAAAGGAAAATATTTTGGGAAGGAAAAAAAAAAACACCGGGGTTGCCCTTTAAGAAAATATTTGCTTTGGGGATGGTTTGTTGGGGCTAAAATTTGTTTTTAAATTTTTTCTGGTACAATTTGGTTCCCAAAGGTTGGGCCCCCCATTTTTTAAAAAAGGGGGTTTTATTTAAAAATTGTTGATTTGGTCAGGGTTGGTAAGGCTATGGAAAATTTTTAAAAATTTCCCCCTTTGTATACCCGGGTTTTTATACTTTCCTAAAAAAACGGTTTTTTCTTGGGAGATTTCCAAAAAATTTAAATTTTTAATTTTAAAAAAAATTGTTTTAAATTTTTTGTAAATTTTTTCTTTTGGGGGTTTTTTTGATATTTTTTAAAAAAGGGCTACCCAAAAGGGCCAAAAGTTAAAAAAAACTATGTTTTTATTTTTAAAATTTTGGTTAAAAACATTTAAAAAATTTGTATTTGGGGGTAAATTTTAACCTAAAAGTTTAAAATCCAAAATTTTAAAAATTAAAAATTAATAAAAATCATTTTAATTTTTAATAAAAATCATAAAAAGTTTCCCCAAATTTAAAATTCAAAAAGTTTTTCCCCCCATGGATAATTTCTTTTAAAATTTAACCCTTTCCTTTTTTCCAAAAACTTAAAACTGAAAATTTTTCATTCTAAATTATTTAATTTTTAAGAGTCAAAACAAGGGGCTGTTTTTGAATTTTTAAAAAGCCAAAATCTTTCCCCTTTTAATTTGTTTTTAAATTTAGGGTTTAAAAAAAACTTTTTTCATTTAGCATCGTTTTAAAAAAATTTTTTGATTTTAAAAAACGGCAATTTTAAAATTTCCCTTAAATTGGGAATTTAAAAAAACAAAAAAAATTTTTAAATGTTACAAAAAAAGGGGTTGTATAAAAATGAAAGTAATTATTTTGTTTAAGGAAAACCCAATTTTTTTTTCAAAATTGGGGGCTTTTTACTGCAAAAAACCTTTTTTATCAAACCCGGGGGAGTGGGCCCCAAAAAATAATTTTCCAAAACTTTTTTTTACTTCCCTCCAAAAGGGAAAATTAAAATTTAAACAATCATAATTTTTGTTTTTTAAAAATTGGGGCCCAAAAAAAACGGGGGAAAAAGTTTTTAAAAAAACCCAAAGGGGATATTTTTTTTGTTCCCCCTATTTTTAAAAAACGGAAAACCCGGAGAAGATAATTTTTTTTCATTTCGTTGCGTAAAAAAATTTAAAAAACCTTTTTTGAAAGGGGTTTTCCCTAAGGGAAAGTTTTTTTTTTCAAAATTGGGATTTTCAAAGGGAAAAAAAAATTAAATTATCATTTCCTTTTAAAAAAAAACCCCCCTATAAAAAAAATCCAATTTTTGTTTTACCCAAAAAAAGGACAGTTTTTATCATAAAAAAAATTATATTTGGGCCCCCATGCATTGGGAAAATTTATTAAAAAAAACATTACCTTTTTGGGTTTTTGAGCAAAAGGACAATATTTTAACTAAAGGGTTTGGGAAAATTTGGGGGGGGGCTCTTTTTCAGAAAAGCCCGGGGAAAAACCCAAAAAAAACTTTTTTTAAAAAAACATTAAAAAATAAAGTTTTCAATTGGTTAGTGTTTTAAAAAAATAATTTTAAAACCCCTTTTAGATAAAAAAAAAAGGGCATGAGCAAAAATTTATTGGATTTATTTTTTTGAAAAATATTTTTCCCCCCCCCACCCCAAATTTAAAAAATTTTTGGGGGACCCTTCCCTATGCAATAAACCCCTTTTTAAAAATTTTTCCTGGGAAAAATTTTTTCCCAAAAACCCCAGGGGGTTAAATTTTTTAAAAGGGGGTTTTTGTGGGTCTTTTTAAAAAGTTTAATGGTTTTTCTTTTTTAAAAAAAATTTTAAAAAACCTTTTTTTTCCTGTACTTTTTTATTTTTTTATTTTTATTTTCAATTTTTAGCAAAAAAAAAAACCTTTAAAACCAAATTTTTATAATTTAAAACAAAAAACCTTTTTTTTTTCCAAAAAGGAAAACCAAAAGGGGCATTTGTGTTTTTAAAAAAAAAAAAAGAAAGAAAGGAAAAACCCTGCCCCTTTTTTTGGGCTTTTAAAAAAAATCCAATTTCCAATGCAGTTGACAGTATTATTAAAGGGGCCCATTTGGGAATTTTCTTTTTAAAAATGGAGGTTATGCATTGGGTTGGGTTTTTACCTTTTAAACGATTTTTTCATTTCCTCAAAAATGTTTTTTTTTTTAAAAAAACCAACGATTTTTGGGAAAAATTTAAATAAAACTTTTCCCTGGGTCTCCCAAAAGGGCAAAGGTTTTTAAAAAATAGTTTAAAAAAATTACCAATTTTGAAAGATGATAAAAAATTTTAAATTGGGGGTTTTTTTCAAAAATTTATTTTTGCTTTCCATTTCCTTTTTATGTTTTTTTATTTGAAACGCTTTTAAAAATTTTAATTTTCCCGGAAAGGGGAAAAAAAACGCAAAAAAAAAGGGAAATTAACCCAATTTTCAACTTATTTTACCTAATTTTACCCAGGAAAGGGGAAAGGGCCCCAAATGGGAAAAAAAAAGTTTTTGATCGCCCCAGGGTTTTGGGGAAATTGGGGAAAACCCCCCAATTTTAAAAAAACTTTTTTTTTTTTATTTTAAGTGGGAAAAAAAGGGAAAAAAACCCTTTTAAAAACATAAAAAAATTTCCTATTTTAATTTCCAAAGGGGGGTCGTTGGGTTTTCCCGCGATGAAGTTTTTGGAGGGGGGAAAAAATTTTCCCAAAAATTTTTTTTTCCCATTTTTTTACTATTTTTTAAAACTTAAAAAACGATACATAAAACTAAAAAAAAGTTATTGGATTAATACAAAAAGATTTTCCGGCCCAAATAAAAAACGAAGTCACACTATCCCAATCATCTCAAAAAAAAAAAAAAAACAGAACTTTAAAACATAATTCTTCAAAACGAACTTGTTTTCTAACTTCTAAAAGTATTGGATGGATAGATAGAAAAAAAGGATGTTTTTTTTATGACAATACATAGCTCTGACATCGATGCGTTTTGTCACATACAAAAAAGTGCCCCTTTAAATGAAAACAAGATTGTTGATGCAGAATTAAAAAGTTTAACCCAGTTCTTTGTGAACTACCCTCATTACATGAAATCAGACAGTTTCACTGTTCATTATTTGCAGATGGAGATAAGAAAATAGTGTCTTTTCAGATGACACAAATGTAAAAAAAAATGTTTTACAACAAAGCAAGAAAATGTCAATTGGAAGTGTTAAGCTGGTGTATGCACAAAAATCATTCATTTTTGTTTGTTATCTATTATCATTTCAACATGTGCATGAAATTATACTTCGCATACTCATGCATTTATGACCACTAATAAAAGTGTGTTTTTTTACAACAAAAAAACAACAACAACACATTCAATTATGAATTACAAAATTTGAATACAATAAAATCAAAAACATAGCTTGATAATTTACTTGTCAAATGAAAGGAATGCATTCAAATTGATAAAACTACTTTTCAAATAGTAATAACTAATCGATAAATCTGCGGTAAAATATTAATACTTTACATGTCAAGTCAAACAAAATAAAATAATAACTTAGATAATTGTATTCTTTACCGCATTGCTGTAAATGATCTCCAGATCTGCATCCAGTCATGTAACCGCTTGTATCTACGGCATATATACACATCATCGACTTTGGTATGGCTTTGCCGTCTCTTTTACAATGAAACAACTCATCATATTCGGTCACATTGTATTCTTCAAAACAAATCAGTTTTAACAACTAATAAACATATTTAACAAGTAAATTGAAAGCAACTTAATCTAGAAACAATAATGACACAGTTGTTTAAGGAATTGTATTTGCATATAATGGGAAATATAATAATATACTTCAGAAAGTGTGTATGTTAACAATTGAACGAACTACGATATAATAATCGAATTGATTCTGGTAATTTATGATACAACCTTTTGTAGGTTTGTAATAATGTTTGATTTTTATTCTGGATATATTAAGTTATATAAGTTATAGAATGTCTATAATTGAAACAGAATTGAATTATATGTCTGTAAAACATGCTATTTTATTTAGCTTCCATACCGTACGTGCAATAAGCAGTATATGTGAACAGCATTAAGTGTCTTGTCTCGAAATAACGCGAGCGCAATTGCTTGTCAAACATATCGGCGGTGTCAAAGGTTATATTTGGGTTGACGTTCAAGTCAATTTCAGTTCCATCGCATATTGTCCTATCAACAATTCTATGAATGGAATTTTTATTATTACAATATCATCCTAAATAAATCATACGTTTTTTGTCGTGTTTTTTGTTGGCCAAGAAATATTTAAATTGAATCTATTAACTTCATACAAACTTTAGCCATTTACCTTCATGATTATCTTGTTAATTCACTTTGTGGTATTTGAATAATGAATTTTGACTCATGCTTTTCAATTGTCATACTTATTTACTCTATAATCGTTTTTTCGAGCATTTTGTGGTCACCAAATATAACTTGTTGATAACAAATAGAATACTACATTTTAGTACAGTAATATTCTTTTTTACTAAGAACTATGAATAAAATATCAAACTCAATGTAAGTTAAAAATTTGATGCATTTCAAAAATATATTATACATAAATTTAAGATATATTATAATCAATGTTTGTAATTGGAATATCTGGGAATTGCTATACATACCCCTTTTACACGGCATTTTAATTTGAGAATCGAAACACTATATAATGTTAACATTCTTTTTTGACCACTAATTTAGATTCAACAAAAGAGATGAAAACATATTTAATAATACGCATATTTGATCTAATACTGCTCAAACAAATTATCAGTTAAATTCATATGAACACTTACCCGGATTTTTCTACTGTGCAGTTACAAAACGGATATGCAAAGTTTTCATTAAAATTGTCAACAATAGCCGCTTCACGGAATTTTAGTTGACAATTCGTTTTTACCTGAAACAAACATATTACTTTAAAAAATATTTTAATTCATATAACTATTTTTTTTATGTTTTTTTGTTTTCATCATTTCAGTTGTGATAGGAATGACATTTCATTAGTCTAAGAATGAGAACGCAATGCGCATACCGAATTTTTATTACATCTTATGAATAGTTGGTGCAGAAAAAAAATCAAATGTATATAAAAAACAACATCAATAGCCATTATTAACAGAAGTTTTATTGTTTATAAAAGTTACCCACGCCTGATGTAATGCGCTGCTCATAAACAGTCCTTATTTATACACATATTGAATTCATAAAGCATATAAAAGTGAAAACATTATTGCTTTCAGGAGAGATAAAAGTAACACAAAATGAGCTACCATTTGAACACGAAGTCCATGGACTTCAATGTCACCTTGAATTTATACCAAAGCTTATGTGAATTAATTGTTTGTTTTCTTTTTTTTTTGTAAATAACTTTAATACATTTATTTAAAATCATTTAAATATTTTAATTTCAATACATTGTCTTATATGATATAATGTAAAATATATTGTGCATCTGATATTCTGTTCCTAGGGCCTAAACCGTAAACCAAAGGGGTCATGCATACCAAATTGATTTAGAAATGTAAGTGTTCTGAAGCAAAATTTTAACTCAAACTTTTATTTTTAAAGTATCAACTGTGTAAAATAATTTTTACTAAATTAAAATGATATCATTCAGTAAACATTATTCTAATTAAAGTAACGGTGACATTTGATACCTTTTGAAACAAAAGCAAATCAAGCCGGGGTTATTCATAAAACCTTCTATATATCAAGTTTGTTGCAATTTCTCAACCTTAAAACTGTAGTTAAGTTACAGTCGGGACTTTTTTTAAGTAACGGTGACCTACACACAAAAGGGGTCCAAATGCAAAAAAAACAACACTAAAATAAATAAAAAAAAACATTGGTCTTCATTGAGGCCCTGTGTTCTGAGTTTAATTACAATATTAATTACATTCATGGCTATAACTCTTGTTATTGTCTGAGAGCCTTTATATCCTTTTTTTAGGAGCGGTGATCTTGACCAAAAGGGTTCTCGTACCAAGCCAAGCCTTTGTTCGAGCTTGTTAGATACAAAGTATGATTACAATATCACATACCTCATTTTAGTTATTGTCCAGAAACTATTTCACTAATTTTAGTTACAGTCACCTTGACCTTGCCCCTGAAGGATTCAAATGCAATAGGAATCTAGGTATCCATATCAACTTGCTAAATGCCATGTTCGATTACAACAATTCATGCTTAAATCTAGTTATAGCCCTGAAACTTTTTTCTTTTTTCAGAAACGGTGACCTTGACCTTCACCGCAGGGGGTCCAAATGCACAACCATCTCAGGCCTTTATTTGAGCTTAATAAATACCAAGATTACAAAATCTCATTTTTGAATCTAGTTATAGTCCGGCAATTATTTTTCTATCCTTGATCTTGATCCCTCGGACTACAATGCATACCAACGAAGATATACATATAAGATTGCTAAATACTAAATTTGGTTACAATATCTCATTCCTAACAAAAGTCATTGTCTGGAAACCATGTTTTCTATTTTAAGTAAGAGTGAACTTGACCTTATGCTCAGGGGAGCCAAAAAGCAATATCAACCGGGTTTTCTACATAAGGTTGCTATACAGACGGTTTGATTACAAAATCACAATACAAATTCAAGTTATCGTCGGAAATCATGAAGGAGACCGTTATACCGATGAATGAACCTATATAGCCCCCTAAATATTGATTACGGGGTATAAAAATGATCACAGCTTAACTGCTTCATTGTTGTGTAGTTATAAAAGATCACATTTTCTCTAAATATTTTTACAATATACACCCAAAGCTAGCCACATCCTGTGACCTGAACTTAGACCCAAGGGGCCATAGATGTCACAGATTTGAAAGAGGAACTCTTCCTCATACAACTATTTACTCATATTCAGAAGTAGAGGAGAAGATTTTCGACGAATTTACTACATAATCATTAGAAACCCCAGCAAACAACAACAACAAACAAACACAAATCATCAATAACAACATGCTTCAGAACATCGAAACCCTGGGGCTGTGGAATTCACAATTTTGGAGAAAAAAACATCCTCTCTCATAATCAAATATGCATTTAATTTGTTTCCTTATTAACCAGGAGTATAGAAGAAGGTTTTTCATTTATTTTTAAAGAAATAATGTACTTATACTGTATATATAAGTGGGCTTACGCCCTAGCACCAGTATCACTGACCCTGGGGTAATGAATTTCGTTTTTTTTTTCTAGAAGGCTCAATGCTTATTACAATCATTTTAACTGTCTGACTGCTTGATGTCCAGCAGTAATGAACATTTTTAAAAACTGCATAATTTATTATGATTTAAGCTCAAAACATCAGAGCCCAGATGACAGGATTTCACAATTTTTGTTCCTCTTCATCCATAAAAACTTTATGCCAAAATTTGTTTAAATTGATTCAGTGACTTCAGAAAAAAGCTTAAAATGTTAAAATGTTAACGCATAACGCACGGCGACGGACAAAACGGATAGCAATAGGTCACCTGAGTTATTCGAGTTCAATTGAAATATCTTTTTGTATATTAACATAGATTCATAATACAAACTCAATACAGGGATGAACAGTTCAAATGCATAGACGAGGATCAAACCTTAACAGTACTTAAATACTCAATGTTTTCAGGCAAAATTAAAATGATTCGTTCTGTTGAAAGTTATATCAGTCATGCAATCACAGTAACCAAAGTATGTGGCATGATATGGAGAGTCATAGTTCATGCCAACTTCAACTTACCCGAAGAAAACATGAATAACCCCACTCATGAAACAGCTGCATATCGTATAAATGAAGTCGAACAGCTATTCTTCCCGATTCCTTTGTAATTGGTTGACTTCCTGTACGTAATGCCATATCATAAACTGAAAGAAGAAAATATATTTTGAATATTGTTTTCTTCTCGTGTATGTTTCTTCCTTAGTTAAAATTGATGGATATAAATTACTTGATTCCAACTATTAACCAACCCAAGTAGTGTGTTTCTGCTGGTTATGATACGCCCAACTCCTATGTATAACACATGCTCTGTCTCTCTATATCTCAATGGCCTTTAAAACGTTAAAACTTAAATGCTATCAGTTGATAAAGTTAATGTAGATAAAATTATTGTGTATACCACCTGCTTTCTTCAACTCATGAATTTTAGTATGTTTTAAATGAAAATAAAAAGAACTGACCTGATTACAAAAGACAACTTAGCGCTTAACCTTGCAAGGAGCAAGTCGAGACCATTAATCTAAATGAGGTTTGAAGCAAGCTGAAAATGGCTGCAAAGAAATGGACTGAAACAACACAACTGTATAAATCTGCTTTGTGAAGGGTTGAATCAAATATTTCTTTGACTAACCTCCGCTAACCTTAATTAAAGGGGAAACGAAACGACAAGAAAATTCCATAACGACCGTAATTGTTTAATACCGTGATAGGACGGCTAAAGTCAATGCTGTATGGCACGCTTACCAAAATCTGTACAACACATCTGACACAAAGGGTCTTATTTTGTGCTATTTTCCTTTTTCATTTAAAATAGAAATATCATACTAAAATTTACGTGTTGAATTTTCTATACGGTATACAAACAAAGTTTATACGTACTGTGGTGGTCAACTGTTTTTTTATGATTTGGCAAAGTAGTTTGTTATATTATCATTTTCATAAAAATTTTTAAACGGTTACTTTATCCATAAATATACATGTGTTATCTGTTGATAAAGTAAATCGAGGTCATTCGTGTTTTTTATTTTGGTTAAATTGTGTAATGATTTTGATGCCTTTAATACCTTATAAACCCAAGGCAGGTTGAGTAACAGCTAAATCCCCTTCGGGAGCGGACATGAAAGTGTCCTTCTTTATGTTAAACAAACCATGGCCTTGATGTAATGTCATACATATTAAAAGCACATAGTCTCATGGGTAGATATTTGTGCTTAGATATTTAAAATATTCCATAAAGTCAGAAAGTTATGGAAAACATTTAAACATTGACGTTTTTGGGAAGCAACATGGATGTTGGGTTCTTAACATCGTGGCATAATGGTGATCAGAGTTATTGTGCTCTACACATCGTCTTAAACTGGTCATCGTCAAGTTATTTCAAATAATTTTCAGTAGCACGAAATGTAGACCTTTGAACATTTGACCTTTTTCTGCGACCCTGACCATTAGAGTAGCAACCCAATTGTTGCATTCTGCACATTATGGTATAATTCACTTGTGCTCGGTTATTTCGTTTTTTTCAGCGGTCTTAAATTTATTGATCGGAAAAGAAAATTAGACGTTTTAAAGTGTGCCTTTGATCTTGGGTGTAGCAGCCAACTTAGTGCACACTGCTTATCACCTCATGGTTCTTTCATGTGCCGAGGTATTTCCATTTTTTTTCAGCGTTTTAAAAGTTATGGAGCGGACTGAAAATGTAGATTTTTAACACTTGACATTTAAATGTGACCAAAACCTTGAAAAAACATCCTAATTATAATTGCGCTATACACATCGTCGTGTCATAATGGTTCTTACTTCCAAGCTATTCAAAAAACAATCAGCTGTTTAAATTGTGTAAAGCGGACACGAAATGTAGTCTTTTAATACTTGACCTTAAAGAGATACCTTGTTCTTGGAGGAAACAACCTATTTAGTACGCTCTGCATATTTTCTCATAATTGTTCTCACTTGTATCAAGATATACTTTATACCTTTTCAGTGGTTTAAAAGTTGTGAACGGTCATGAAATATAGACTTTTAACACTCGCCCTTAAAGTGTGACATTGACCTTAGAGGTAGCAACTAAATCATTGCGCTCTTCTCAACGTCACATAATGATGTTTACATGTGCCAAATTTTTTAGCAATTTTAAAGTTATGAGGCAGACACGAGTTGTTTAACATTTGAACTTTTAATTTGACCTTGACCTTAAGGGTAGCAACCCATTTTTTGCACTCTGCACATCGTCTGATAATAGTGATCACGTGTGTCCGTTTTTTAAAAGGTGGATGTCATTCTTATAATCCCGATTTAAATATTAAAGCGGTTAATTAAGAAACTTTAAGGAAAAAAAAGAAAATATTAAAAACATTTTTTTCTAGATTCTAAAGGTAAATAAAGGGAAGAATTTTATGACAATGCAGTGCAACAGCATTTTTTTTATTCAGGACTTAAATTTAGAAAAAGAACTTGTGTCATTCTTAAGTAAATTATGCGTTTAATTCAAACTCATTTACGACTCGATTGCTTCACAACGAACTTATTTTTTTAAGTTTGAAAAATATTAGAAAGAAGAGTAATTAATAATATATCCAATCACAATTACTAAGGCATGCAATGCGTACGAATAGGATTCTTAAACACATATTTGACTTTATCTCTTTTTTAAAAAAAAATAATGGTATCATCAAAAATTACCATAAACCATGTATTTGTCGAGACAGTAACAGCATTTGAAAGAGAAGAGTAAAATATTTTAAAAAAGGACGCTGCCTTAAAAATCGGGGGGCTGAAGAAAAAAAAAAAAAAAAAAAAAAAAAAAAAAAAAACAACAACAAAAAACAGAAACACTATTGTGAATGTCGATTAAATTTGCTTTGTCATATTTAGAATCATTTAAAACCAAATTACTTTTTGTAGTTTTTAATAACTTTGATCATTTCAGTATTTCTTTTAAATTATTTTTTGAACAGTCTTTTAATTCTTTATAAACTACGGATTAATTAAATGTAACGATATGGAAGTGTTCATTTTTAGAATAGAAAGTGTGATAAGCCTCATGACTCAACCGTAGAGCTTCAGTAGGGCCTACACTTTGAGTCTTGGACAGACTCTATAGTTTAAAACACTGTGACATTTGGCTACCAACATGGGTCAGTAATGGTGTTGCGGTTAAGAGTAATTGTGAAATTTTATCAACCTTAATTTAATATTGCATTGTATATTCAACGTTTTCGTATTTAAATGACTATGAAACAAAATATTTGTAAGAGTTACATGACGATTCCTGATTCGTCAAATTTTAGTTTTGCAGCAACACTTCTTGCCCCTCACCGCTATGGGTTCGAATCATTCCGACAGGGACTTTGGATTATTTCATATGAAAAACTTTCTAGCTAGCTTACAGAACGGTGGTTCTACTCAGGTTCTCGTTCGTGTCTTAAATAATGCAATGAAACGCACCTGAGGTCTTCATCTTCCTCAAGAAGAACAGATAATATAATTCTTAACAATTCTACAATTCTAGCCTTTTTAATTAACAAACCAGTACAAAGAGCGATTAACATACGTATGATTTGCAGGAATGATTAATTAAGATAATGGCTTTGTGAATATTTTCAAATTTATTGTATATTGCATTGGCGTTATTTCTTACCATTATTTTTCCACATCCTGAACATGATGTTTTAGGCCATATTTCTTTTCTCAATATTTTTGAAAGTTATGAAATATTAAAAGTTCTTTTATTAGTTTAATTGAAATTAGTTCAGGTTAATCGTTCTCAATAATTAGACTTGATTTGTAATGATGTTGGTATATATTATAAAATGAATATCATCGTATTTCCTGAACATGTACTATTGTCAAATTGATAATTGAAAATATCGGTTATATCTACGAGGTCTTTTTTATAAAAATAAAATAAACATGTTTTGACTTCAAACACAGAATATATGTTAGTTTTAAGTCCTAAACACTGTGAGTGTACACAAAAGAAATATATAGTGTCATTTAAAATCTGGCATGACCAGCTTTACTTGTAGTAGCGAATACAAATACCCATACACAGTTTATAGTATTTCTTTAAGTTGATAAGTATAGTTATATAATATTGTATACCAACCATAGTTATCTTCATCGCTATTATCCAAAAAGTCAGGTATAGCATTACATTGGAAAATATGAAAAATAAATAGGACGAAAATATGATAAAGAATATGTACGAATATGATAAAACGAAATGAAAAATGTACAAGGGATATATGACAACACAAAACATAAGACATTTGTACAAATAATAATCATAAGTGCCGGTTACATATTCATAGTGTTTAACATGTCAGTCAATTTTAAATAAACCAAGACCGCGCTAAATTTCGAGTATGAGTGAACAGCTTTCGATACCTTGGCTGACATTTGCGATCCGCTCGTAAATGGGGACTATTTACTTATTGCATTAGACGAGTATTCAAGATATCCAATAGTAGAAAAAAATGAAAGTATTTCAACAAACTATGGAGGGTTATTAATGCCAAAATTACATCTTGCTTTCTTACGTTACATCGTGCTTTCTAACTTGTACATCGTGCTTTCTAACTTGTACATTATGCATTCTGGCATATACATCTTGCATTCTGACTTTTACATGTTGCTTTCTACATGCACATTATGCTTGCTGCTGTGTGCGACTTGCTTAATTTTATGTTGATGTCGTTATTTAACGATCAATTATTATTCATTTGTTGATCTGGTATATTAATTTAATAAATTAACATGTAACTGTTTGTATTTACGTCTATTTACTCAGCTTGAATGACAAATGTCATAAGGTAGAATGCGCATGGCCAAAGCCGAATGCAGCAAGCATAATACAACGCGACAACTGGTGTAATAATATGTGACACCCAAATTATGCTAACAGGTGGCGCTACAGTTATATTCTCGGTAAAGTCCGTATTGCGGTTCGGATTCAGTTTACAAAGTTACGTCCCTTTGTTTTAAAATTTCCATTTGCACTCATGGAGAAAATATACAAAACGATTTATATAATTTTTATATTTATTAATGAAACTCTGTAGGTCAAATTATATTTCCAGCTGACAATGACAAGTTGCACATTTCCAAATCAACGGTTTTAGATTTTTTTTTTCAACATTGTTCAAAG